AGGCTTGACGTCCAGAATATATAAAGAGCTCACACGCCTCAACAAACAAAAAACAAATAACCCAATTAAAAAATGGGCAGAGGAACTGAACAGACAGTTCTCCAAAAAAGAAATACAGATGGCCAAGAGACACATGAAAAGATGCTCCACATCGCTAATTATCAGAGAAATGCAAATTAAAACTACAATGAGGTATCACCTCACACCAGTAAGGATAGCTGCCATCCAAAAGACAAACAACAACAAATGTTGGCGAGGCTGTGGAGAAAGGGGAACCCTCCTACACTGCTGGTGGGAATGTAAATTAGTTCAACCATTGTGGAAAGCAGTATGGAGGTGCATCAAAATGCTCAAAACAGACCTACCATTTGACCCAGGAATTCCACTCCTAGGAATTTACCCTAAGAACGCAGCAATCAAGTTTGAGAAAGACAGATGCACTCCTATGTTTATCGCAGCACTATTTACAATAGCCAAGAATTGGAAGCAACCTAAATGTCCATCTGTAGATGAATGGATAAAGAAGATGTGGTACATATACACAATGGAATACTACTCAGCCATAAGAAGTGGAAAAATCCAACCATTTGCAGCAACATGGATGGAGCTGGAGAGTATTATGCTCAGTGAAATAAGCCAAGCGGAGAAAGAGAAATACCAAATGATTTCACTCATCTGAGGAGTATAGGAACAAAGGAAAAACTGAAGGAACAAAACAGCAGCAGAATTACAGAACCCAAAAATGGACTAACAGGTACCAAAGGGAAAGGAACTGGGGAGGATGGGTGGGCAGGGAGGGATAAGGGGGGGGAAGAAGAAGGGGGGTATTAAGATTAGCATGCATGGGGGGGAGGGAGAAAGGGGAGGGTGGGCTGCACAACACAGAGAGGACAAGTAGTGACTCTACAACATTTTGCTAAGCTGATGGACAGTAACCGTAATGTGGTTGTTAGGGGGGACCTGATATAGGGGAGAGCATAGTAAACATAGTATTCTTCAGGTAAGTGTAGATTAAAAATTTAAAAAAAAAAAAGAAAGAAAGAAAGAAAAGGGGGATTACTCCTTAACAGGATAAAACTATTGGTAAATCAAAGATCAACGCATGCTTTAAATATCCTTAATGTTGATCACTTAAAGGGTGTCAGATGATCAGCTATGGAGGTACTCTTTTCTGATAATATTCCTTTCTCTTAATTAAAAAAAAAAAAAAAAGCAGTTACTGTGTGCTGACCTCCAATGAGTTCTGCACAGTGGTATAGAGGGCATGTCAAAGTGTGGGCAAAGGGTCTGTTTGTTTCTACGCAGAAGATCAAGGCCTAGCTTGGATACCCAGAAAATGAACTAAGATACGATATGAGGAGGAGCTTCCGGCATCAGCACTCTCTGGAGGACTCGTGCCGGGGGATGATCATCAAAAAGCCTCCACAGGGATCCGGACGATGCTGCGGTTGTGGCTGCATCCAGCCCACCGTCTCCTGGACTTGCCATAAGAAGGAGGAGGGAGATGTCTAGGCTGGCATGTGCATACAGTGAGACAACGAATTTGACTGGATCTGTACTGTTGGAACTCAACCAGGAGTTGGGAGGGGTGCAAGTTGTAGCACCCCAAAATCTCATGACTATAGACTATCTATGGTTAAAAGAACATATGGGATGTGAACAGATCCCAGAAATGGGCTGCTTTAATTTGTCTGATGGTTCAAGTACAGTTGGAAAATATCCATCATATCATAGATAAATTTTCACAAATGCCTAGGGTGCCTAAATGGTTTTCTTGGCTTCACTGGAGATGGCTGGTAATTATAGATTTGCTTTGTTTATGTCACCGTATTCCTATTATGTTAATATGTGTGTGCAAATTAGTTAGTAGTTTAAAACCTATACATACTTAAGGTACTATACAAGAAGATATGTCAAAGAAATAATCAATCCTCCCAAGTTTCCTTCATATGCTACATCTATAGCTTTTCTTCTTCCTTCCTAATTACAAACCTTAAATAGAATTCGTGCCTCATATCGAATTTACCGAGTATCATAATTCCTCCAGGTGGTAAAGATACCTCGAGACAAGTGCTGGGCATAGAAGCCACAGGGCATAAATCTGCAAAGAAGTAAAAAGCTAACCTTTGCAAACAATATGGCTTCTCTCTCACTTACCAACTTTACATTTCCCTGTATGGCCCCGGAAGATGACTGGTTAGCCAGAGACGGGTAAGATTCCTCAAGGGAGGAACAACCTAAGACAGGCACAGTCGCAGGGGGGCCATCAGGTGAGAATTTGGGGATCAACAGAGGTGAGGCTCAGAACCTCACCCCCCCTGCTTTGAGAGAAATCTTCTGCATCCGTGGATGTCTTGCTGCCCTTGTCTAGCCTGGATTAATACTTAGTCCATAGGCACACACCTGATCATCTGATCATCTACATTTGCCTTCTTACAGCACTAAACTATGTTTTCTACCTTTATCTTGCATCTACCTACCACTTCAGCATTTTATTAAAAATAAAAATAATAATAATAATAGGAGAAATGTGGGATCAACATATAAATCAAGTACAAAAATCAAATGAATATTCATATTTGACCTGATGGTTTATAGGTCATATTGCATGATCAAAACCGAAAGTTTCTGTGATGAATGCCCTTGTACTGTTCACCATGTAAGAATTTATTCACTCTGTAAGAATTCGTTCACCATGTAAGAACTTGTTCGTTATGCTTCAGAAGATTGGAGACTGACGAGAATTAGGCTTGAGATGGATTAATGATTGTACATTGAGCATTGACCCCCCTATACTGAATTTTATTGTTGTTAACAACCATTTGATCAATAAATATGAGAGATGCCCTCTCAAAAAAAAAAAAAAAGTTGCTAAGAGACTAGATCTTAATTGTTCTCATCACAAAAAGGACAAGATAGCTAACCTTATGGCACTATATACAAATGCAATACCTAAATGTATCAAATCAACACACTGTACACCTTAAACTTCACAATGTTGTCAATTATATCTCAATAAAAAATTGTAAACCTGGTTTTTACTATTTCAGTCTAGAACTTCTATTTTCCCTATTTGTATATTTAATTTTAATATTCATTAGGGACAAAACTACCCTATAAACAGAAAGAATATCAGTCTTTTTTTCAAAACCTCAGCAAGAATCGATCACCATTTTGGAAAATGAAGTTTCCAAACAGTAACATATTTATGTTCTTTTGAGTGACCAATAAAATATACCTATTATCAGCATGCATTTAAAGTTGTAATAGTATAGCTTTTCATTAATCATGAATTCCGTCTTCAAAGTATTAATGTTAACAGTACCCTACTGAACAGTTTTATTTATTCCATACTTAAGAGCAAGTACCTGGCTACACTGTTTTCTAGTATAGTAGTAGATTTATATATTTTTATATATATACTATAAATATTTATATATATACTATATATTTATGTAGTAGTATATTTACATGTTAAAATGTGTATTTTATTTCAAATTGATTTCATTTTTCCTTTATGTTATAGTAATAACATTGGACTGACCCTTTTTGAAATTGTGCATATAGGTAGGTTATGTTATATATGAATTTCATCTTAGGATAGTGGATGTGATAGATGTTATAAATGTTACCATGATCTGTTAAGTCTGATCTGGGGAAGAACCACAATCTTAGACCAAGCTCTTTGAGGGCATGAAATACCACCCGGCACCAACTAGGTCCTTAATATCTAATTACCCCCTGTTGCAGTTTCTGTTTATGCCCTTATTAACTCCTCCCTTTTGGCAGTCTCAATTCTGACCCAGTGTCCACCCTCATGCAGGCAACCTGGGTAAATACAATCCATCCAAGTTTCGGTGGTCTCATTCCCTTTGCCAGTAATTAGACACAGGCAAATAACCCAGTTCTGGGGGAGACATGATGGGAATTCTGCAGAGGAGCTTTGGGCAAGTTTCACACTCACTGAAGAGACAGGAGAAACAAAAGGTAATTTTCTTTCACTGGAAATTGCTGGATTACAAAAGACACCTGAAATCATGGTAGGCATCTCTGATGAGTATTATTAGACCAAAATGAAAATGCAGAGAGTGACAGGTTGGGAAAGACAGAAGGAAACTAGATATCTCTTGGTATCTCTGAGCCCCCAGAAGCCCATTCTAGAACCTCTGAAGTACTTTGTTACATTTGACACACTTGGGTCTTTCCTTATTGCCAGCAGCAAGCATCCTTACTGATACAGCTCTCTTCACAGTTACTAAAGAGTATTTGTATATACTACATGCAATCCTGAACAGAATGCTATGTAGTTGATTCTCTCTCATCCATCAGCTCCTAATTCAAACCATCTTATTATAATTTAGTCCCAGGCTTAGCTGTATAGAGCTCAGGGAGGCTGATTTAATATACATGGACAGTAAGCTACATAACCCTGCTGTCCAATCATGCAAAACAAGAAAATTTCTCGTGCTGTTTCAGCCTTTCATATCATCACTTCATCACTTCTCAGGTAAACTAATTTGGAAGTAATTTAACTGTCCTAATCCCAAGCAAAAAGCCTGGTGATACAATATATATGTATTTTTAATGCATATAAGCATGAATTTAAGGAATAAGCAAGGGCTATCTTTTGGCAAGTTTTACTTAGCAAGTACAGATGGTTTCTTTCTGTGGACATAAGGTTTAAATGACTGAATTTATGAATCTAATAACCCTTCCACTGACAGTTGTAGTACTCGACATGTGAAACTGGTCTTCATAGGTTCCCACAACTCATCTTATATCTGGCCTTCTTCCCTGCACTTTTTCTACCACAGTCCTTTATTCCTTATTTACTTTCCTCTTCTCAACTTTCCCACACTTCCTTATTCACAGAAATTATGTGTAGGATATATGTTATTACACCTATTTCCAATTCAGAATGAGCCTGTAAGCCCTTTCAAATCCTTGCAGTACTCCCTGAGGGCAGACTTTTGTAAAAGAAAGAATATGCCAGTCAGACGTTTACAAATTAAACACAATCCTATGTAAAATTTTATTTTGCCTCAATCTATAAGTGCTACTATTTGTTCGAATTGCTCACATAATCAGTTCCATCCAAAAAGGAAAGGTAAAGTGCTTTTAGCATGTAAGCACAGTTAGGAGGGCCTATCCAAAGGTCTTCCACTAGGACAAGAGAAAATCTAAATAGAGATTTGTATTTTCTGGATGTCTGTATTCTCTGGCACATAAGAGATTTTCATGATCAGTTCAATTTTTTAAAACCTACCAAATGTCAATCATGGCAGGGATGAACACTGAGCTGATTTCTGATAACTAAGCTATGTTATCACTGAACATAATTTATCCTAAATGATTACTGGCATCTTTTAGTAAGACCTTGGGGTAGGGGCTCTTCACAAGTAATATAAGCACTATTGCACAGGAATAATGGGCATCCCCAGAGTAGCTATGTGCTAGAGACTTCCTCCACTGCTTCTTCCCTGTGCTGGTATCCAGGCCTGAGAGCTGAAAGGACAATGCACAAACCCACTGAGGGTTTTCACAACAGAGACTAACAGAGGAGGGACTGCGAGGTACTAATTTTTGAGGTACAATCGACAGACTGAAAATGATGAGATCTTGAGTACATGAGCCGATTTCTATTGCCTTTGATTCATTAAAGTTTTTTTACATGTCTAACCTGCTTTCTTTCTCACAGGATAGTTGGGAGAATTAGGTGAGATAAAGCCTAGTACAGTGTCTGCATACTCAAAACATATTCCAAGTCTCCTCCCCACCCCAAAATAAAGAAGGTCGTCCTTGAACTTTGAAAGTACTTTGTAAATAAGAAGAAATTAGTTCTTCTATCAGCATCCTTGTCAGCATAATTCTAAATTGCTCCCAAGAGTACCTTCTCTTTTGTAAAATAAACACTTTATACTCTTTGAAGTACACACAAAGTTTCATTTTGTTCAGTGTTCTTTACTTTCCACTGTGAAAAGTGTTTCTGAGAAACTGAAATCCCGAAGGTAACCACAACAAAAACATGTTAAATGCTTTTTTGAAAGTGAGGATTCAAAGGCAGACTTGTAGAGAAGTCATACTTAGGAGACAGAAGGCAAATGCAGCCTCTGGAGGGAATTATTCTAATTACTACCTAAAAAAGGAAAGTTATTCAACTACATTCAAGGACATAAGACAAAGCATTACTTTAAAACTAGAACTGACTGAACAGTTGGATGATAAACATATTTGAAATGGGAAAGGGAAATAAATTTAATAATAATTTGAATTGGGACAATGATCCATTATTCCTAGATGCTTCTGTTATCTCAGTACTCTGTTTCATTTTTTACCTCCCACAATGTCTTCACTGAAATCACAAAGCAGTACTTTCAGAGAACTAAATAATAGTTGTCATTTTGTTAGGATTCAAAATTTCAATCCAGTAGCCATCAGGATCTTGAATAAATGCCAGGCCTTTCATTTTACCTGTAAAATGACATGATTTTCATTACCGAAAAGACTGTTAAAAACTTAAAATTTTAAGTATGCTTTAATTGAAAATTTTAATTTGCATTTTAATGAAGTACATTATCCTGTTTATAATTCTAATTTTAAAAAATTATATTGTCAGCATTGCCCAAATACATGTTTTTCAGAATGACTAACATTCTATCTTATACACATAGCTGGAAACCAACTCTCCTGAAATAAACTGTGGGACTGGCTACATCTTTTAGGTATCAGGTGGTTACTTCACCTTCATAGTATCATTTCATGGTACTAGTTGAGTAATCATAGAAACTACCTTATTTAAAAGAGGAAAAAGAAAACAAGGAGGTGCTGGAAGGAGCAGGTAGCATGACTTAACCCACAGAGCCAAAAGACCCAGGAAGAATGGGTCAGACAAACCCTTTAAACACTATTCTAGGTAACCCCAGCTCTGCTAATCAGATTTTTTCTCCCAGGAATTTGTAACAGGTTGAGAGGCTCGTAGGTTCAGTAGTAGAGCTATTTGCTTAAATAGAAAAATGTGATCTCAGAAATCTATTTTGGGACAACGATGCTGAATTAATTTGATTCCTGTCTCTGGCTCCTCTCCCCAAAATCAGCCCAAGGTATACAGAAGAAAAATGGAGAAGGAAAAAAAAAGTGAGATTCGCTCCCCCCCCACCCCCATGGGGTAATGATTGTAGAAAGGAATAGGTGGGGATGGGGTGACTGCTTTAATCCAGTCTATGTGAAAGTGGGTAGTTTTGACCTGGACCAGAAGGCAGTCCATCAGAGCTGTGGGAGAATAAACAGAAATTTTGTTTGTTCCTACCCACACTCTGTGTATGTGGAGGGATTCAAACTACTGATTCAGCTGTTGTCAAGAGTAAATAACGGCAGTACAAAGCCTTGTGTCTGTAAGGAACCAGCTGATCTCCCCAGCCTTCACTTTCCACCCCACCAGGCTAAGGAATGCCCATTGCAGAAGTGTCTCCTACTAATACTGCTTCTCCCTGAGGGACAAAGGGGGAAGAAAATCCAACCTCAAGACTTGTTCTGCAGAATTAACTCCCATTTTCAGGTGCCCACGAACCCCTGCCCAGCCCATCTTTCTAAGATCATTTGGTTTGCTAAGAACTGGGGTATGCCTTCCCTCCATTCGCATCGCCTGATGGACTAGAATGGTTAATAGTTACAATAAAAAACAAAACAAATAAAAAACCCTCAGAGATCAAAGTAACAACAATTTGAGGAACATAACCATAAAAAAGTCCTGGATTACTGTTCAAACAAAAGAACAAAAACATTAGACCAATGGACTAAAAATTAACATGTAAAAGTGATGAGAAATATGAAATATAACCAACAAGATCAAGAAAATATTTAAGGAAACAAGCAAAAATTAGTGATCAAAATTATAATAGATGAAATTAAGAACACAACAGATAAGAACATAAAAGATGAATATCAGAACAGATACATTTGAGGAAAAATTAGCTAACTGGTATGCCAGTTTGAAGAAATCTCCCAGAAAGACAGTAAGGATGAAGAAATAACAAATATAAAAAGCTTCCAGATTAAAACAGAAGATAGTATGCAAAGGAACATGAATCAGACAACAGATTTTTCAATAGCAACACCAGACTGAAAAATAAGACATTGGAGTTGTATCTTCTGGATCAAAAGAAAATAAACCTAAGATTTTATATTCAACAAAACTGTCATTCATATATAAAGGCATGGTTCTCAGGAATACAAAGCTCAAAAGTTTTGTCTCACAAATCCTTTGAAAACAGTTTGGGTTGAGGTACTTAATAAAGGGATAGAAAATTCCAAAAGATGCTGCATAAGATATGTGGAGAAAAAGTGATCAGATACTTTTATATATATATATATATATATATATACACACACACATATATATATATATTAGGTAAGGAAAATAAATCAACAATGTCACAGTCTGGGTAATAATAACACGATGGGGATATGGTAGAGCAAGTACTTATCTTACTGGGGAGGATATTTGTATATGAAATCTTTTATTGAGGAAAAAAAGTAAGGATTAAAATGAAACAGTTAAGTGCTTCAAATAAAAATTGAAACAATAAATTACGATGACAGAAGTGGATTAAGTAAAATACAATACATGTAAATCTAACAAAATCCAGATACATATTATTTCAAGAGACATACCTAAAACTTAAGGACATGCAATGGTTGTAAAAGGAAGAAAACAAATTACCAGAAAATTATTAACTAAAGAGATTTGGTGCAGTTATACTAATAGCAGATACAAGACTTTAAGGAACTTATTTTGGGGCTAGATACAACCTGAACTAGGGGGAGCTGGTGGCCAATGAGAAAATGTCCTAGGGTCAAAGGGTGGGAGAGGGAGGCTAAGTTTTCCATGTCTAGTCCCTTGTGAAGCCACTCTCATTGCTTCCTTTCAGTTCCTTAAGATACCCAGGTATTCTTCCAGTCATTTCCCTTCTTTCCTTAAGCTGGATGAAGAACATTTCTTCAAAGTTACTTGTAACCGGAAGAATTTTGGTACAAAAGTACCCTCTGTGGGTGCTTTGTAAATGTTATGTAACTAAAGAGAGGCCCAGAAGAAAACAAGGAGCAGACTCACCATCATCAGGTTTCTTCACAAATTTGACTCCCAGTTCTTCAAACCTTTTACAAGCACCATGTACATCAGGAACAGCAATTCCAATGTGACCTTAGGTGACCATCCCCAAAACAAGGTAAAGAGAAGGAAGAAATAATTACAACAGGGTATCCAAGAGCCACAAGTACCTTCTGAAAGTAATTTATTTGAAAACATAAGGCACCCAAAGACAGACTGAATCAAGTGGGTTCAAAACCTATAATAAAGAACAAGAATCTAACTGGTTGGATGTAATAAATTAGTTGCTCTGAACTATAAATTACTTTAAAAAAGCCTAATATTAGCTCATATTTATTTCAGTCTGTTAAGAAATAATTATTTACTTATACTTAATAGATTTGTTGTTGACAATGACTATGCAGCAGCCAATAAAAGTCTATAATCCTATCATCTTGACTGAGAAATTTTAGATCAAAGAAGAAGTGTATGCTAGCAGAAATTAGGATTATTATTAACCATAGTTTTTGCTTTTTAAATTAAACAGTCTCCTGGGAATATAATACTAAGACTAAAAAGTAAAATTGTCATCAGAGAGTAAATGTAAAACTTGCACTGAGACTATAAAATTAAACTCCTAAATAAAATTATGTATGGAAAATAGAAATAACCATAATTCTAATAAATTAATTATACTTAATGTTTTAGATTTATTTTTATGAATAAATAGGTATGCAATGCAAAAATTACACAAAGCGAAATATATACATACAAATAAATGTACATACCAAATCCTCGAGGGTCTGAATTTCCACTGTGGTAACTCTGGGTCTCATCGTCTTCAGTGCCCCAGTTGCTACAAAAGGAGGGAAAACATAATTATGAGTGACCTACAGAACAACATTCTGAAAAAAAAGTTGCAATGATCTGCTAAATCTTAGCATGTATATATGCTACTTATTATATTTGGTCTAATCTCTGCTACTGCAAATATTCAGTTTTCAACTCTAGACAGAGAAAATGGAAAAACTGTGATTTTTAAGTAGGGTAAGGAGATAGTAAAATCAGACATCTTGGTTAGATCAATAATGATAAAACAGCAACTATCATGTATTGTGCTAAGTACTTTATTGAAGAGACTTTATTTATTTGAAGATTTCATTAAATCCTCAAAACAGCTCCATAAGCTAGACTTGAGTCTCCACTTTAGAAATGAGATTGCAATTGGGGAGGTGATATAATTTGCTCAGTCAGAGCTATTAGCAGAGCCAAGATGTGTGTGCCCATGTCTGTCTGATTCTAGAGGTGTTCCAAATAAGGAGATACACAAACTCACATGCCCAGAAATAAACACTCTTTTGTTAGTTGTTAAACAATGCACAGAAACAACATAAAGAATAGAAAAGAAAGGGAATACCTATTTCAACATTTTTAAACGTTGAAATCATGAAGACCTTAGTGGTAGTGCTTAAACATTTATTAGCTACATTCAGCAAGTCTCTAGCCACTGCAGTCTCACATTCTCTATCCAAAAGTGAAATTATCTCACCTGCCCTACCTAGGTCCCAAGAAAAATATAAAGACCACAAGATCCACAAAAAAAACCCACTCAAATATACTGTTACAAATGCAAAGTGATTAGGTAGACCCAGTTTAAATTAAGGTGGTAAGTAAGGAAAACTAGTTTTAAGAAATGCAGAATAGAGAAAGGGGAACCCTCCTACACTGCTGGTGGGAATATAAATTAGTTCAACCATTGTGGAAAGCAATATGGAGGTTCCTCAAAAAGCTCAAAATAGAAATACCATTTGACCCAGGAATTCCACTTCCAGGAATTTACCCTAAGAATACAGCAGCCCAGTTTGAAAAAGACAGATGCACCCCTATGTTTATCTCAGCACTATTTACAATAGCCAAGAAACGGAAGCAACCTAAGTGTCCATCAGTAGATGAATGGATAAAGAAGATGTGGTACATATACACAATGGAATATTATTCAGCCATAAGAAGAAAACAAATCCCACCATTTGCAACAACATGGATGGAGCCAGAGGGTACTATGCTCAGTGAAATAAGCCAGGCAGAGAAAGATAAATACCAAATGATTTCACTCATATGTGGAGTATAAGAACAAAGAAAAACTGAAGGAACAAAACAGCAGCAGAATCACAGAACCCAAGAATGGACTAACAGTTACCAAAGGGAAAGGGACTGGGGAGGACGGGTGGGAAGGGAGGGATAAGGGCAGGGAAAAAGAAAGGGGGCATTATGATTAGCATGTATAAGGGGGAGAGGCACGGGGAGGGCTGTGCAACACAGAGAAGACAAGTAGTGACTCTACAGCATCTTACTACGCTGATGGACAGTGACTGTAATGGGGTTTGTGGGGGGGACTTGGTGAAGGGGGGAGTCTAGTAAACATAATGTTCCTCATGTAACTGTAGATTAATGATACCAAAAGAAAAAAAAAAGAAATGCAGAATATATAAAAAGATAAACACTTGTACTCACTGTGTTAGTTCAAGTGTAGCTTTTCTGGAGAATACCCATGCTACTTTTTCACCTTTATCCTTTGGGATGTCATTTTTATCCTCATAAGCCAAGAAATAGAGGGAAAATTTCATAGTGGGAAAATCTAATTTTTGGAGTAGCCTGAAATTAAACAAGAAGAAGCCTGAATCAATTAACAATAGATAAGGTTAATTCATACTAAAATAAACATGCCAATATTCGAGTTCTACTAAGAATAAGAGCTGTATGTTCTGAAGCTATTTTAATAGAAAAAGCAGGAGGTGATAAAAGAAAAAATCTCAGTAAAAAAACCTACTCATCTGTAAATATTAGTGAAATTAAAAAGTTTTTAAACGCAAATTCCTGTGACACCAATTCTTCAAATACAATGAAATTTAATTCAAATTACGGTATTTGTTTATAAATAGTACCTTCACAAGAAAATTGTTTTTTTAAGTAAAAAATATAATGCATTACCTCATTATTCTTTTAGATATATGATATTCAGTTAAATAAAATACATTTAGTGAGCTCTTATTATGCCAAAACTCTTAGGAAAAGAAATTGAGGATAGGTCACAAGAGAGAAGGAAGGCCAGATTAATATGACAGAAGATGTGAATGTCAGTAATGAAGTAGTTAACCAGTACCAAATACTGCAGAAAGGTCAGACAGGATTAAGACTGAGAACAGGCCACCAGATAAGCAAAGGTCCTATGAGGACAGTTTCAGCAGCATGGGGCAGCAGAACCTGGGCTGCCCTGGACTGGGAGAGGATGGGAGGTGAGCAAGGAAAATAACAAGGGTTGTCTACCTATATATATAGATGGTTGGTGATGATGGAAGGAAAGCAAGAAAGCAGAGGGCAAGAGTTATCAGAGAAGAGACAACACTTACACTTTTTGTAGGCTGAGGGGAAGAGCCAGTGGCAAAGGAGAGACTGACATGAGACAATTAGTGCATGAATGACCAATCTTGAAGTTTAAAAAAAGGTAACTGAAGTTGTGGCCTATAAAGTGCATTTAAAGAGTGTAAGATTATTTTGCAAGGAATAGGGCAGAATGAGGATGCATACAATACAAATTCCTTTAGATTACTGAGGTTTACATGCTCAAAGATGACCTTATTCCTAATCAATAAGAGGGAATGGTTGAAGCATAGCAAATGGGAAGTTTCTAGAGTTCTGTTTCAAGTATTTTAATTATTACTACTAGGTAATATGCCTTGACCCACTGAGATCCACACATTGACTTATCACAAATAAGATTTTCTCTAACATGTTTATAATAAAGTATCAAATAACTCAGCTAATTCAATCATGAAAACTATCTCTGCACCTAATAAAGCCAAAGGCACAAGCCTCACAGGGGACTACAACAAACCTGCTGCAACTTGCTTTTCTCAGCTGAGCCTCTCTCTCAGGATAATGTCAGGTTGCAATCTATTTGGGGGCTCTTTAAGAAAACAAGGTCACACTGGAGTCAATCAGACCTGGATTCAAATTCCAGCTCTACCAAGTACCCACTATGGAATCTGAGGCCCAGAACTTAGAATGTCTTTAAGCTTTGGCTTCTTCCTTCATCTGTAAAATGGAGATTTAAGCTATGCCATAAGCAAGACTACTATGGAGACTGAAATAACTGTGAAGTACCTGGCAAGTAGCAAGTTTTCACTATAGTTGTTTTCATTCTATCTTTTAAATATCCCATAAGTATATGCAAAACTACTTTTTCTGGAAAGAGTTACAAGAAACTGCTTAACAGCAGTTATCCTTGGGGAGGATGGGGAGAAGGAAGCTATTACTTTTCATTTTGTATTTTCCTGAACCGGTCAGACTCTTAGATCCAAACACAGATATATACTCCATTACTTGAATTTTCCCCTCAATGTCCATGGAGGTTATGTAGGCAGTAAATGAAATATTATTTGATTTTATTTATGTTAAATTATCAAAAACAAAAAACATCATGTTATTTAAGGCTACAAATCAAGAAAAAAAAACAAATATGCTTTCAGGATTACAAGATCAGTGGATATTACTAGGCAAAAGAGTCCCTATCCTATAATGGGACAGATGGTCAGTTTTAGGTAAAACTCATTCATTTTCTAAGTAATATGTCTTTATATCTGTATCTTTTCTGAAGTTAACAAGAGGCTAAAAGTGGCCATAACATCAAAAGCATCTGGACACATCAAGGATTTAGCTGGCAGCTCTCAGAGAGAAGGGAGTTAGACAAAATGCAAGTCTTGGTGTCTTCTTGCTGGGTGAAGCTGGCTGGGATAGAGAAGAGGAACTGCAGAAGCCCTGGCCAGTAGAGCCTAGTCCCAGACTCTCGGAACTTTTGTGACTTTTGAAGCAAATGTTATCCATTTTTTAAATGGATCCGAAAACATTTCCTCTATTTGCTCAGCTTTGCATTTAAACATTACAGGTGCAATCAACAGCTACTTACGTCATCCCAAGAATTCTAGTATAAAAATCCAGTGACTTCTTAGGATCCTTAATCCGCAGCATGGTCTGCTGCAACAGAAAATCCTGCAGAGCAGAAGTGTTTATTAAACACCTTTAACTTTTACCACTTGTTAACAACGTTAATTGTGCTTTTTATACCAAGATAAAAACAGCTTACCATTTTAACACAATGTTTAAGAAGAAAGCAACTTTGTCCCCTCAGCCTACCATGGAAATTACCCAGAAAATGTTCCCATACTTACCACCTACAACTTCCTGTGGCTCCCTGCCCAAAGGTGTTTGCTGTCACAAGAATAAGCCCCTGTGTGTGGCCACAAGGTTTACAGCCCAGGAATGACCCTCAACCAACACTGAATAAAAAACCTGGCTCCCTTGCCCCTTAGAGGGACATCGTCCCTCAGAGGTTCCCCAGCAGGACTGAAGCCCAGTTGCCCTCAGTGGTAATCTACCCTCACACACTTTTCATTGCCTCCTCGTCTCACTCCAAAGAGTTTTCTCTGAATACCACACAAATAAACTTCTTACAACCAAACCCTTACCTCCAGTCTGCTTTTAGGTGAGCCAAACTGAGACAGTGACATTACAAACAAAAAGTTCAGTCACTAAAATTTGTCGAATGAATGCAGAAATGCCCTTCCAAAACCATTCATTGGTCACCATAGCAAGAAGTTACTCACAAAATCCTAGACTCCTAAATAACTAAAAGGGTAAAAAGTTACTGTCTCTTACACCATTGTGAAACTGTCCAATTTACATATCAGGAAACAAAAGGCTTGCCTTGACTGATAAAAGAATAGAGAGTATATTAATTCATGGAGCTAAGATTATTATTAGCATTAATAATAATACTTTGTGCCTAGAGGTTTGAATTTGTTAGGTACAATGACCATGAGGTACTATTATCTACAGATATGAATAACTCCATTTTACAGATGAGAAACACACACAGGGCAATTAATTGTCATAGCTTTCTGATTCTAAGTTCACGTCTCCTTCTATCTCCTTCTATCAGGTTTTCTACAGGTACCTTCCAGACCATGAGCCTGTTAACTACATTTGTGCTTCCGAACAGATTTTTATTCTTGCCATACCCATGGTCGCCATAAAATGGGCCTGGTAATTCTGTACTCTTCCTTTGCAGCCATGCAGACATCCCTCCCTATAACTCATATCATGTAACATAACAAATGGATTTTATTCATTTATTCATTCAACATCATTAAGAAATATTCTTCTACTTTGCTAAATTTTTAAATAACCAAAATGTACACTTAGGCAATAGAATTCTCATTTACAACAAAACTAGCCTAAAAAGTACTTTAATAAGTTGATCTTAATGAATATAGTGATTTAATTCTTCATTAACAGCTTATAGTCAGTCATATACAAGGAAGTTAGCCCTGAAGTTCCATGTTTCTAAAATGGTTGGACTGCTTTTCTCAGCTAGGTGCTATGCTCATAAAGGTCTGTTTCAGCAAGCAGCTCAAAAGAGAAAGCAGCTTCTAACGTGCAGGCTCTGGCCTGGCACTCACAAGTGGGCCTTGCTCTTCTGTTGAACACAGTTGCAAAGCATGTTCCAAGTCACTCTGTGATTGCCATGGAGTGAGAGCAAAACAAAAGCAGCAAAACCAATTCCACTTCCTAGTATTGTTTAAGCACACGTTAAAGCAAGGTATTGTGAACGCTACAAAAGTAGACAGTTCCCTCACCTGGCTAGTAAGAGTGACTGCTACTTCTCTGTCAGTTCCCATGTTTGCGTAAGGAGGTTGCCTCCAGGCCAAAACCTGGTGTGTGATGTTTGAGGCCTGAATACCGGCAGGCCTTATCAGGGACAGAATAGGTGCCTTCCTCACAGCAGCCTTGGTGCACAGCCAGTGCATTTAGGTCTCTGTGGGCAGTTGTAGGCAAGGACTAAATCCTAACGATGTTCTGGTTATCCTATAAAACACTAATTTAGATATTACTCCGAGGAACTTTGCAGTAGGACTTCAGGTTATTAATCAACTGATATTAAAATAAGGAGATTATCCAGGTAGCTTCAACGAAATCATATGATATCTTAAAAGCAGAAAGTGGCAGAAGAGACAGAGAGAGAGGCCAAAGGAGAAGGCAGAAGAGCAGTATGACAGAAGAGGACGTCGGGGAGATGCCAAGTGAGAGAAGGACTCAAGGTGGCACTGCTTGCTCAGAGATACATGGGCACACATGCGAGGAGTTAAGGACAGCCTCTGGTAACAGCCAGCAAAGAAACTGGGACATCTGTCCTACAACTGAAAGGAATTTAATTCAACCAATAACCTAAAACAGTTTGGTAAAGGATATTCCCCCAGAGCCTCCACTAAGGAACACAGCACTGTCAGTAACCTTGATTTTAGCCCAGTGAGACCCCTGTCAGACTATATAACCTACTGCTATGAGATAATAAATGTGTTATTTTAAGCCACTCACCTGCAATAGAAAACTACCACACCTCAATGTCATTCCCTACCTCTGGTGAGCTTGGTGGGACCTATAAACAGGTATTCAAATGATTAAAACTATCTGAAAATGTTAGTTACCACTGCATATAGAAAACTTCAGCTATCTACTTATCAGTCTTAAAATGTAGATATTGATCTTATTTTGATGATTCAAGGACATTTCTACAAACATCTACAAACATTTAATACTACTTGTCCCATACAGAGATGGTCCCTGGAACTCCGGACTTTTAATTTATTAATGCGTTTTTAGTTCCCTCCCTCACCACTAAGCCATGGGTTGCCAGTTCTATCAGCAGAACTCTCCTTTTCTGTATACTTGAAATCAATACAATTCTGTATATTAACTATACTTCAATTTTTAAGAACTGTCTCCTTTCTTGGACAATAGCCTCCAACTAATCTCCCTAAATTCTCTTACTCTACATTTCTCACTGCCTCCCCTGCTAGCACCCTGATCCCAGCTCTTCTACCTCCTTCCCAGACTGACTGGTATTCCCCTCTCTCACCTTGCCCCCTACAGTCTATTCTCAGCTCCTTTAAAAAGTTAATTCAGATCATGTCACTAATCTGGTCAAAAACCTGAGATGGCTCCCGTGTCACTCGGTGAACCTCAAGGTCCTTACAATTGCCCATTATGATTGGTTCCTATTGCGTCTCAGACCTCACCTCCCCTGCACGCACTCTGCTCCACTCGAGTCTCAGTTCACTGAACTTGTCTGCCACATTCCAGCCTGAGGGTCTCTGCAGAGCCACTTCTCCTAATCTTCTTAAGTCTTTGCTCAAATGTCACCCTCTCAATGAGGCCTTACCTACTTTAAAACTGTAACTCTCCACTTGAACATCTTTCTAGTAGCAACACTGGTATTGCTAGACTACAAACGACTGTTATTACTTCTGTTCAAAAAAGCCTACACTGAGAACCTCGTAACTTGGCACAGATTTCTTCTTCTACAGATGCTGTGTAGAGTACTGTAAAACAAGTCTGATAGCCCTGCCTATCCTATCCCTTCTCCTTATCCCATTTTTTCATTTGATGAAAAATCCATAGCACTTGTCACCTTTTAATATGCTATTTACTATATCTTTTATGTTTTTCTTTCTCCATTAGAATATAAGCTCCATAAGGGCAGGGATGTTTGTTTTGTTTACAAATGTCTGACAGACAGAACTTGGCACTCAAAAAATATTTGTTGAATGAGTAAATGAATTTTCACTGCATTTTTCTTTCCAACTAAGCTGAATCCAACATCACTGGTCTCTTCTTCAGTTAAAAAAAAAAAAAGTATAAAATCTAAAAACTGCCTTTTAAAATCTGGTTTGTAATGACCCAGTTTACCATGCCACCAACACACCGGTCATGTTCTATTCTGCCTTTTCAACATCTTTCTAGTGCCAACATTGGTATTGCTAGACTACAAATGACTTTATTATTACTTCTGTTCAGTCCATAAAGGCTACACTCAAAACCATGTAACTAGCACAGTTTCTTTTTCTGTAAAGTACTGTAGAACAAGTCTGACCCTGCCTAGCCTATCCTATTCCTATTCTTTTGGATAACAACCTTTCGGGAAAGCAGTTTGGCTCTCAAGGGCCTTTAAGAATTCATACTCTTTGACCAAGATGGCTCCTTTCTAAAAAATGTATCTAAGAAAATAATCAGAAACTCTGACTCTGACAAAGTTTTATGTACAATGACATCCATCACAACACACAATAACTACATGCCAGCCACAGTTCTAAGTAATTTAGAGAAATGAGTTCACATAATCTTCACAAAGACCCTGATACGTATTACCATTCCCATTTTACTGCTGATAAGTGGCAGTGAGAAAATTCCAGCCCAAGCAATTTCATTCCAAAGTCCTTTCTTTCAACCACCCTGGCCAAGCTGCCTCTAACAACAAAGGAATAGTTACATGAATTATATCATAGAATCTTATGAATACATTTAAAATGCTGCTTTAGAAGTACATTATATGGCATAGGGGCTATGCACATAGTATATTAAGTTTAAAAAGCAGAATCCATATATGTATACCTTGTTCCCTTTAATATGCTATTAAGATTAATTATATCTCAAAAATGTTAATGCCTTTAATCTTATTATTAACACAGTTATGTATTATAGCTATCTAAACATATAAAATAATACTAAAGTTTAAAAGAGCTATCTATAGCTAATCATACTGTATTGTATGTTTGAGAGTTGTTAAAAGAGTAGATCTTAACAGTTGCCACCACATACAGAAAAAGTAACTATGTGAGGTGATACATGCATTTACTAACCTTACTGTAGTATCATTTTGTAATATACACACATATCAGATCACCATGTTGTACACCCTAAATTTACACAATATTATATGGAAAAAGGTTTCAAAAAAAAGCAAAAATGGAAAGATACACATTTTTCTGACTGAGAAGACTCTATGGTAAACAGATTATTTCCAAGTAAATATACAGATGTAATATAAACTCTAATGCCATTTTTTAACCCTAATAAAGCCTATACATGGCAAAAAAATTAAAGGTATACTCAATGTTAGTGGATTTGTTCACAAAAAAACAAGTTTATTCTTT